TTGTGAACATTGCATTAGAGTAATGGACTGGGTTTGTGAACATTGCAACAGTCAGATCCTCAACCAATAAAGCTGGAAAAAAATTATTTTGACCTTTTTAGAGTTCTGGTGACTTTAAATCTATCGAAAGAAAAAGAATCATTTTAATACAAAACTTTCATCACAGACTTTGTTCAAACATGTAATTAACAGGGACATGAAGTATGACATGTTTGTTAAATGTATGTGTTTGTTTACACATGATGGCTATAAAGTATGCAGAAATCAATAAACAGCCTAAACATCTGTTGCCTAAGCTATTGCTCTAGTTTATCAAGTGTATTGTTAACTAATTAACCCCTGTAAGCACTAACTGCAATAATGATAGCATGAACAAGTATAGCAAATTCAGACCTGCATTTTCAGGACTCTATTTTGTTGCATGTTAGATTCTGGATTAGTCAGTCTATATCCAGCCTATATTGTTGGATTGGTCTTCCCCTTCAGCTCAGTAGGAAGAGGATCAGATAAGTAATCCACGGTTGCTCGTTCAATCCTTCAACAAGACATTATTTCTCCATTTTGTCTCTCGCCTATGAATCAGAAATCATGTGGGATTAGTGAAATTAGTTATTACTGGTTAGTTAACCATGAAAGCCGGCTAGGTCCCGACTCTTTTTTCTTGAATTCTGAATTATGCAGTCTATATTCAGGCTATATTCTTTGATTAGTCTTCTCAATCCAGGGGTTGCTAATTTAATCCTCGAATAAGGTGTTATTTGTCCTTTTTGTCTCTCACCTCTGATTCAAAAATCATATAGGAATTTAGTGCTTGGTCACTTGCGGAGAAATTGGAAAGCTGGTTAGGTGGATTGACTGCAGAGATATATGACCAAAACGTGTTAAAAATCAGTATGAAAAAATCCCAGAAAAACAAACATTTTGTTTGATGCTAAGTTTGAGTACAGGCTGATCTGGCCCTATACTGACCACTCTTGGTTACAGCAGTGGTTAAGGGTTTAAAATCCTCTCAATTAACATGGAAGATTGCAAATAAAAAAAAATCAAATAAAGTGTGATAAAGATAGATGTTTTTTGTCATTGTATTATGTAAACATATTTTTCAGTGTGAAAAAGTCAGATAGCATAAAAATGTTTTGTTGTTTTCTCTGTTAATATTTCTTGATAGATTGATCAAAATATTGTCAGTTTATGATGGTAATATGTTAGCTAATTATCATGTTTTTGTTGCTTTGTTTTGTTTCTTCTCATATTTTATGACGGACAGATCCTTCAGTGCAGGTGCCCCTCCTCTGTCCATTGTTTTAGCCACAAGGTTGACTTACAATGTGAGGGATGTCGCACTTTTTCATTATCCCTCATGTACAGACTGTCTGCAATTTTGATGTTATTTTGCTGTTTTTAATGCTTCCGAGGGATCACTTTTTTCCAAATATTTACAAAATGCATAATTGCTGTATAGCCCTACACAAAGGTTTTCGGTTTTAAGTAATGCTTTAGAATAGATAATTATTTACTTGTTAGTTAAAGTTTGCAGATTACACTTGCATGTCCCATTTTGTTGCAGAGATTTGCATAAAAACAAACACCCCCCTCACTCCTTAAAAAATAAACAACAACAAAAAAAGAGAAAAAGTTTGTCTCATGGAATATACCTTTTTCTTTCAATTTTAACCTATTTTTAAAAAAATCGTTCACAGACAGTCTGGTATTATAAATTTTATCTTCATTTTTTTTTTTTTTATTGTATTCTGGCTAAATCACAAGATGATACGAGCTAGGAGATTGACACTTTTCCAGTATTCTGCCAAGACACTGGAAAGAAAATTATCTCTGGCTTTTAATAGAAATTTGTCATTTTACCTATCTTATTTAAAAAAAAAAAATAAGGTTTAGACAAATCAGTGGGAGCCGAAGATAAAATAACGTCACTTTCAATCATGTCTTTAAATGTTTTATCAGTGAAGATAGCAATTTCTCAGATATAAAATGCAAATCTGTCAAACTTTACTTTGTGTTTCTCATGACCTTTTGTATACAGATTTTCATGTTTTATGCACATTTATACACACGGGCTGTCAATTAAATCCACATCATTTTCTCAGTATTACTTCAAACTTTTTACACCTTGCCAATTGTTGTCTCATCAAAACCACTTTGAAATGTTTATTTGAAATTTTCTTCTTTTTTTTTCCCCTTCGCTTTTTTAAAATAATGAATATAAAACCCTTGAAAATTTTATTATCTAAAAAAAAAAACATGAAGTAGGAGTTTATGTGTAGACACGTTAAAAAAGACACATTTTAGGTGAAAAGCACAGAAAATGAAAAGAAAATGTTTCAATTTTGCTGGTATATCTATTATTACAAGGTTAAACAAGTTTTCATGGGAAGATTTCTCGCCATTGCCTTACATGAATAGCATCTGACTGCGGCTCTTTGAACAAACATTATCAGTATATTTAAGCAAGGCTAAATGCTGTTCTTTATCCATAGAAGAGGGAGTGAAATTATGGCAATTAAACTGTGAAGGAAAGCAGAATATCATAATTATTATATAAATTAGTGTCAGAGTGAATTAGGGATAAGCAGGAAACTGTCAATTTCAAATTGTTGTCACTCAGTTGGGGTTGATTTCATTTTTTAAAAAGTGAAGGAGAAAGATGGATTAAATCACAAGTCATGTACACATAGGCTACAATACATTGACTAGTAAAACAGTATTATGACATTGACATTAACTGTTAGATATTGACTGTAAGCTATTGACTGTAAAACATTAAATGGTAAGACGTTGACTGTAAAAGAATCCTTTGACCCACAGTCTTCATATTTGGCATGGAGGTTTATCATGACCATTAGGTGACCCCTATTGATTTTGAAGTCACTTGGTCAAAGGTCAAGGTCACAGGGCCCTTGACTAAAAAAGCTTGTCCGCTCGATTGCTTAAGAAGGCTTTGGTCAAAAGTCTTCATAGTAGATGACCCCTTTTGATTTTTAGGTGAGTGTGTCAAAGGTCAAGGTCACAGGGATTTTACTATAATAAGCTTGTCGTCTCAAATGCTTAAGAATGCCTGTCCGCAGTGTATTTATTTTGACATTTTCACATTTGAAGCATGTAGAAAACATTACTTAGCAATGCACTGGCTTGGTAACCTCAGATTTTGCAGGGAGGTTGTCTTTGAGCTTTAAATGGTCACCGTTCATTTCTGACAAAGTGGTATGCGGGGGTATTTCACGCCATGAAGTGGCCATTCTAAGTGGTTTTTTTTGCATTTCCAATGACTTTGACATAATAGGCAAGAATAATTATTAAGTTTTCCTCTGGCAAATGTATTACAGTGAAGGTTTTATGCTATTTCGCTTTTTTGGGCATTTACAAAAAAACATTGATAACACATTAACATCTGATATTGTAAAACAATTTAACAGGATTCCAAATAAATCTTTAAACCCTGAAACATTTGGTACCGGCAAACCTCAGTTCTTTTTTCATTACTTTATATTGGTCCTTTATAGATGGGTCCTGTTAGTTTTTAAATTTATCAGGCGCTTACACAGGTGCCAGTAGATGGTTACACTTAAAAAAAAAAAAAAAAAAAAATTGCTCTTTTATCCAAAACCATTTGTTTTTAAATTTTAAATGGTTATCAGTTAAACAGAAAGTAAGGAATATGATAGGGAGAAAGTAGTTAACGGAATTGTTAATTGACGATTACGAACCTCGCTTTACCATGTTCTAATTGATAGGAATTTCAATGTTACATACAGCACCAATTACATAAAAGATGTAGAAAAAGAAGCCATTTTGTGCGTTGTTGTTTTGTTTTTTTCGTCTGAAAGGGCTATTTGATGTGTACAGGTAGTTTTTGTCTGTGATATATACATTGTGTTTATGCTGTATTGCATAATCTGACCATTATCAATAATAAGAATGCCATTAAAGTTTAGCCGCTACCATCCATGAACTGGCTAAATCAAACTGAGTCAATTTTGCAGTTTTGTGCATTTTTTAGGTATTTCGTTTTTCCCCTATTTCATCTACAGTATAGGGTTCTGTCAGCCTTCATAAAACAAGATGACATGACATACAAACACTTTTATGCAGCTTAAGTTTTAAATTTTCCTTAAACAAAAGTTAATAATTCAACACAGGAAAAGTGTATTTTACAAATTTAGTGGTGTTACATTTAAAAACAATAAAATTCTCAAATGGTCATAAATATCTCAGATTAATTCATAGACATTGATTTAGTTTCTTTGTTTTAGGTGTGACCATATCTCTTGTCATGCTAAACCTTCGTAAATGCCTTCATTCATGCTAAATTATCAATGAAATAGAAATGACTTAAGTCTATCATTTTAAGATAAAAAAATAAAGTTCAAAATCTCTTTTGTTTTCTATAGGAACAACCCTTTTAAAACAAGATAAAGCCTTTTTTTGAATATAGATTTGTATCTTTGCAAATATGTTTAGGACTTTATGTGTTTTTCTTTCACTGAAACTGTGAAAAATGTAAATACAAGATACTTATTTTAGATTTTGTGATAAGCCATGAAAATACCTCAAAGAGTTTGAAAATGCCCCAAAGAGCATAAAATACTCAAAAAGATCATACAGATGTAATTCATAGGTTTTATCAGTTATTATTAATTCATATGGGATATTTATGTTTGAAATAAGCCCCACTGCATTTCCATGTTCTAGCACCTTAACAACAATGGAATGGTATGCCAAACTATTTCTTTCTCTCTTTCATGTTTTGTAATCCTGTTTGAAACAATAAGTCCGGATTAGTGACAACAAAAACACATTTGATTGAGTAGTTTAACCCTGCAAGCTTATGTGTCAATGTGTGGAAGCGTCCGCCGACTTGGTACCTGCGGTTGCTACACGAACACAAGTGCTTGAAGACATGCACATGGATTATGCAATGATAAAGTAGTCCATAGAGCAATATCACTAACAATGGAATGTTAAAATTCTTACTTTATTTGCAGACGACACAAAATATAAGCAGACGACAACAATGGAACAGATGGTACATCCTTTATATCAAAGATTGGAATTGAAAAGTCAGAAGAAAAAAACGTTGGATGAAATACCATGCAACTAGATCTGTTTTGGAAAATGCCAAAGCTGCTCATAGGATTCGAACACACAATCGTTGGGTTATAAGGTCTTAGAAATTTTCCATAACTGACAGTACCTATAATATTGATAGAATTTACATGTATGTTTAAATTCTGTATGTATCGATTGTTCTCTTTTATACAAATTATCATTTGTTTTGTGAAGATTAATTACTAGAACTGCTTTATATTTAATACGAATATTACTTTCTATAAATGCTTCAAAATAGATGCATTTGTAATATCGCTAGTCCTTTAATACCCATTCACTTATTTCTAAATCACTTTATTTATGTCTTATTCAAGAAATTCTTTTACATCTTGTTAAAATTAATCATACAGTTCTTGTTGATGCCCGATTTTCATGTTTGCCGATGCAACAGTTTCATTTTACCGTAACTTCTCTCACGACATAGTGGTAAAAAAAAACTTCGATGAAATTTAACCGCAATCATTGCTATTGACTGTGATGAAGTAATTTTGTAATTTGTCGGAATGATGTATGTACGGTTACATCTCCAGGTTACATCTCCAGGTTACGATATCATACCTTTACCTTTCATTTGTGAAAATTGTTGATTACCCTTAAGTTAATAGCTAATCTTTCTTGCTGCTTTTCTAATTTTTTGTTAAACGCTGTGTTGCTGATAGTATCGGACCTTGTCAGTTTCATTTCTTTTGCATTAATTTGCGTTAAGTTGAAATATGATGTGAAAACGATGCATTTAGATTTGGATTCGTATTAAGCTATATTGTAAGTGATACAAAGACGGCACATCATTTTACTGGTTTATCTGCTATTTGACAGGAAAACCGACATAAAGAGTAATCTTCAGTTTGAATTTGTTTAAATATTCTCAAATTTGTAATGTCAAGAGAAAAAAAAAAAGACGAATTGTATCCACTGTACAAAAAGTAAAATCTGTCGTCTTTGAAACACTTGGTCAAGTTTAAGTGGCTAAATATCTTAAACGGACTTGTCAATCTTTCAATCTAGACAAAACCATTTCATTGTTTTTAGGGAAAAATCCAAAATATATTCTGACTGAATAGCGAACATGTGAAATGTGTTACATAAAAAACCATGGCAGGGATGTGCCGGCTGATCTTGGTCAGCGCTCGGGTCACATGGGTTGATCCATGCCAGCAGGCTAAAGGTTTAACTGACCACAACATTTTCAGCGATGGGTCATTTAAACTTTAGTTATGTATAACAATAATAAAAGTATTAATTTAAGTATATACTGTTGATTTTATGTCTTATATTTATAATCAAAGTGTCCAAGTGGCTGTGGAATCTCAAATATTTGCTATATCCAATAGTTCATGGTGTGGGGGCTAATTGTCTGTAATTGATTTAAATTGGCAAATTTACATTTTATATACAAATTAGATATTTCTTCACAAGGATCGTCAAGTCTTTGAGGTTTTCGGCTTATGTATCTGAAGTTTGTTATATATCTAACATTTTAACCATTTAAACCATTTAAACTTGAAAGTAGTTGAAGAAAAAAAAAGAAAATTTGTTAGATTTTTTTTTCAAGTTTTCGTTATATATTTTTTTTTTCTTTGGTAAAATTAGGGGGTATTGATTTGTATAAAACTTCTTGAGTTGTTTTTGAAGTATGTACATTTTGTTGAACTAATTCAGGATTAAAAGGGTCTCGTTCAAGTACTGGTTACAAAGTTTTAAAGTTTATTAAAATTAGATGGAAAAAAAAACTCAAGTCTTTGACTGAGATAACAGTGGAGTGTTTTCAATCATGGATTAAGAAAATTAATGATTAATGGAAAAATAATAAAAACAGACTGAGTATGTTGTTTGACACCAAACAGATTTAACACCATCAACACCACCCCCACACTTTCCTGTACGCCTACATTATCATAAAAACATACGCACTGCATTTCATTAAAATCAATTTTTCATGCATGTACATTTTCATTATCTAAATTGAAAGATTTTAATACAGATGGCATTAATTTAGTGCCGTTATATCTGGTATTGTAGATAAATGATTCAGTTATTGGTGTATTCATAAATCTTTCACTTCCTTGGACTTGGGTTGCCAATTGAAATTTGAAACTTTAATATTTAAAAAAAAAACACTTGCATCGGGTATAGGACAGTGTAGGTTGTGGCAAAGTAGCAAAAATTAAGTTTAGTGGTGAGAAAAAGACTTAATTTACATGGAGGTTCTTTTGCTTTATACAGACTGCGGGGGAGGACCTTGTAGAAAATAACATGTCTGATTATGATAATTGGGTTTTATCTTTCACATCGCAATCTATAATAAATGATATTTTCAATATTAAATGACTCATATCCTTTAAATATTCAAATGATGACGATCGGAACAAGTTTTTAACTTAACATATTCGTATTAGCTCTTAAAGCCCAGGGGTCAGTGATAAGATTGTGCATGTCATTTGGTATAGAAGTGCTAGGCCGGATGCCAGTAAATAAATCATAATTGCAACTGTTGTCAAATTGAATTACGTTCAAATTTTAAAAGACCCATTATATAACTGTCAACTTGCAAAATGTTTGTAATTCATATGCCTTGAAATATTCCTTTCAAAATTTAATGAATTTCAATATGAAAATAATAAAAAAAATGAGCTACCAACATTATAGAGCCTGGTCAGACTGCAGGGAAGGCCTGGCTCTATACTCGTATGGCAATGGCTAATCACTTGTTGCCGCAAGTAAAAAGTAAAAAAGTAAAATGCACAAACTGTACCATAATCAAACCTAGCACAATTAGAACAAGCACAATTAGAAAAAAGGTACGGATAATGCACTATTTAAGATCATTGAACATTTTCTATAGGAGAGATCTAAAAGTTCAGAAAATGATTGCATATGTCACTTAGGTGCTCTTAAAGTTAGGGAACACGAGTTTGAGCACTTATAACTTTGGTCACATATTTTCTCATTTTACACAATTACTTGCTAGATCTTGGAAGCAAACTGACTGGAGATTTTGATACAAGTTGCAAGAACATGTAATGAATGATTAGTTTTATAAAAGAGAATATCCCAAACCTTGGACAACTAAACACTAAGAGCACTACAAACCAAGCACTAAGAACACTCAACGAGCCTTTCATGAGATACAGAAATGGTACATTATCAAAACTGGTAAAAAGGTCGGAAAAACTTTATCCGAATGGTTTTTGATCTCGAATAAATTCTGGCTAACATTATTATCATATTTCTAAATTACGTGAACTTTGGTCAGAGAGGTTAATATATCAGTAAATACCCTTCCTCTTTGAAACTGTACCCCAACTTTCAAAGGGATACTCTTAATTCCCTGGATATTTTCCAATTACATAGATTCCAAGGAAAATTATTATTTTTTATATCATGCAGATTAATGGATTGGGGAATGTAATTATGTCGGAAAGAAAAATGAAAATGAGCCCAGCAGTGATTATTCTGGTAGGGATTATAGGCAGTCGATATTTTGGGATGAAATTTTGATTTTTTGAAGAATTATGGGTAAACGACATACCTTGAATTCGTGAAAGTGCTTCAAGCCTTTGAGACGAATGATACATAGGAATAAGAAATTCCAAGCTTGTTTACTTGTTGTAGATGTGGTGTGCCAGAATAAATCCACCTTAAATCCTGAAAAAACAAAGAAATAAAAAAGGATTTATTAGCTGTGATTCACAAATGTATTTGTACTTTTCTCAAGTGTTCTTAAACATATTTCACAGTAGAACAGTAACATAGCACTATTTGTCTCTGCTACCTGAGTAAGGAGCCTGGCCAGTCTGCACATCCGTGTAGTCTGACATGGTCCTTGACAATTGGTTTCAGGATTTGAGCTTTGTGGTACATGTATTGGAACTCAATCTTTATGAAAATGAGTGATGGTTCCAAATCCATAACAGAGAAAATCCATTATACAAATTTAGTAGGGTGAAACAGGTCACTGAACTCGGAAAACAATATGAGATTAGTTCATAGTATTTCGTGTGTAAAATTTGTGATTTTATGAATTTGTAGAATGTAGGAAAAGTGTGATAATCATAAAAATAATATTTTAAGAAAGTGATGTGAAAAATATTTTAAGTGGAGAAAATAAGACAGAAGAAGATTGGCATTATTTACAATCTATGCAACTACAGTAGCTCTAAAAAGATATATGTTTTATAAAGCTTTGAAATAATTGGTACATTAATTTTGTTTGTTGGTTTTTTATGATGAAGTGGTTTAAATAAAATCCATTTGTTTCAAGACTTTTAAATATACTTTTACAACAAATCTTGTGATATTGAGCGGTATTGGGTTAAATATATTTATTTAAGCTCGATTGTGAAACAAGTTCTTGTAACCTTAATCTTATATTTAGATTATAATCACTTTTGGGTCTACTTAAGGAACCAACCAGTACTGATGTCATATGAGTGAAACATAGTCGCTCGAACCCATGATCCCTGGGCTGAGAAGCAGACACCATATCACTAGGCCTTCGCTCCCGTTAATGGTATCTTTTGCAGTTGCAGGGTTATAAAGATAACTACCATGCGTCTCCTATTTAGAAGTGGTTTGTCCATCATTAGCTATTGTTAATCACGAGGATAGGGTTGTGACAGTTGGGCATCTTCTGTACCTTTACATACATGTACAAATCACCCGTACGTTTTACACTCCATATCAGTATAAAACAAATTGCTGCAAACAATTTCATTAAAGTGTATCAATGATGACATATCCGACCAAAACTATTGTATATGAGAGGTCGTGTGTGTTAAGAGATAAACACGGGATGTTGTGACCCTATCATATGGATCAGCGTGTCAACAGACTACATCAAGTTGCGGAAGTTTTTGTCCGCATTGTGGGGACACACCTTCCATGTCCTAGACACAACTTTGTAAATAGTAGGGTGTTTGACGATGATACTTGAATTTATTCTTTAAAGTGCCGTTTGTTGTTCAATTTGGCGTCAATTTGTGACTTTGTGTCATTGACGCAAATTGGAATATTTCGGGAATGTTTCGGTTGCCTAGGATTTTCCTTACTATATCATTGTTAAATTATGTCTATTTTTAACTACATTGTCAAACAAGTATCTAAGTTAGGTGAGATTTTCAGACACAATTATCATAACTTGATGAAATTACGTAATCTTGCTGTACTTTTTGGTGGATTTCAATAAACAATGGTTTTACTGATTTTTTCTTTAATATTTGATTAACCAACCTCTAAAATCCATGACTTTATGTTTTGATAGAAAGATAAAAAAAATTGTTGAAAAAAAAATCAAAAGTATATTGAAAAGTTTTAGAAAAGTTATATAACTGCTATGCTAAAAATTGTTTTAAAAAGGTGCTAAAAGTATTCATATTTTATAGAATGAAATTTGCAAAATACTCCCTTGAACTTATAAGTTTACTGCCCTGAAATGCTTTGCATAATAATAGAAAAAAACAATAACATAATTTGACTTTTGTTTAAAAAAAGTTATAGCCCTTAGCTGTTTTGAGGGGGAAAAAAACAACAAAAAACATTGCCCAGCAACAACTATTTTCTGACTTGATGTTAAGCTCCACTTTTTGAAGAAAATAAGTAGAGCTGTTTGTATTGTCATGACCAACAGTCTTGTTTGCATTGTCTACTTGTTCACTATCAAAATGTTATGTAATGACAAAAAGGGCAGATAATTCAAAGATAAATTTTGGCAAAGTTGTGCCCCTTTATCCACTGATCCAGCACTATAATATGTTAACATGCTATCAGAGAACAGGTTCATAAATGTATTCCATGTCAAATTTTGTTGAATAGGAAATTTTGTGAAATTTCATTTTATAAAATTAAATTTTACAACCGTGTTGCATTAGCAAGGTGAGCAAGTTTGATGATTTTTTTGTTTGAAACGAATTCAATTTGCAGATCAGCTCATAACTCTTCCATAAATGATAACAGATACAAAAAAAATCATCTGTTATTTGTGGAAAACATTTCTGATTAAGTATAGATACAATATACAAAAGTTCGTAATAGCTGCTCCGTCACTCACAAATTGGAATTAATTTGCCATTTACTTTTCATTTACTATGTTAAATACAATTTTAATGTGTTAAAAAAACATTAATTTCATGCAAAAAATTTGTTTGACAATTTAATGTAAACACTTTAAAACGTGGATAACTGCAGCATTTAGATCTTTGATACAGTCTTTATTATAACAGTTGTAAAATGTTATATTTATTAAAATTTGCACTTCATGGGAATCACCTGCCATATTTTATATCAAATGATGTGTCTTGTAAGTCATCCGCATAAAAAATGGCATTATGGGAGTTTTAAAAGACAGCTTTGTTGTCTGACATACTAACTTTCTCCCAAAATTCTGACAAAGAAATCAAGATGAAAACTGAAAAGGTGTACCAAGGCAGGAAAGAGTAAGAGAGATGTACTTGGCAGAAAAGCATGAGAGGTGTGCTTGGCAGAAAAGCATGTGGGGTATACTTGGCTGGAATGCATGAGGGGTGTAATTGGCAGAAAAGCATAAGAGATGCACTTGGCATGAATGCATGAGAGTGGTATATGTGGCAGAAAAGCATAAGAGATGTGTGCTTGGCAGGAAAATATGAGAGGTGCACTTTTCAGAAAAGCATGAGAGGTGTACTTACTTGGCAGAAAAGCATGAGAGATGCACTTGGCATGAATGCATGAGAGTGGTAAATGTGGCAGAAAAACATGAGAGGTATGTTTGGCAGAAAAACATGAGAAGTGTGTTTGGAGGAAAAACATGAGAGGTATGTTTAGCAGAAAAACAGAGGTATGTTTGGCAGAAAAACATGAGAGGTGTGTTTGGCGGAAAAACATGAGAGGTGTGTTTGGCAGAAAAACATGAGAGGTATGTATGGCAGAAAAACATGAGAGGTATGTTTGGAAGAAAAACATGAGAGGTATGTTTGACAGAAAAACATGAGATGTATGTTTGGCAGAAAAACATGGGAGGTATGTTTTGCAGAAAAACATGAGAGGTATGTTTGGCAGAAAAACATGAGAGGTATGTTTGGCAGAAAAACATGAGAGGTATGATTGGCAGAAAAACATGAGAAGTGCTGTCTATTCTGCCTGGTTATAGCCTGCACTGTTTTCTATGCAGTCAGTATATATTTTTGGAAATTTCCCTTAAAATTATTAATGTTTTTTTTCCAGGATTTTAAGATGTTCAGATGTGCAAGTCCATATAACCTATTTAGCATGCTAATGGTTGAATAGGGTAAGTCTTACAGGATGTACAACCAGAAAAGCAAAATAATTGAAGTTAATTTAAATTAACACTCATTTAATTTCATATTCCATTTTCACTTTCATTACCAGATATTGACAACATATTATACTGAAAGTTCTTTGAATGTTTTCTGGGATGATATTAGAAGTACTTCAATGGATCTGAAACATTTTTCCATTAATTATAATATAGAAAAATATATAGAATTTTTATCTGTTAATTGAAAGAAGTTCAGACTATTCATGATAAAACAGTCTGCTATAGATATGTACCAGTTTCACTGTGTTGTATATTCAATAGGTAGATCAATGTTCTTTTTTTTTGTGAGAAAAAAAATTTAAGACAGAAATGTATTTCAAAACACAAATATTTTAGTCTGATAAAAGAGAAAACTTTGTATAAAAATCAGTTTAGTGTAAATCATGGGAATTTGCGTTTTAATGTATCAGTCTTGAAATCTAAAAGAATAGTCAGTTTCCAAAAATACCTACATACGGACATGATTTACCTCATACTGAAAGTTTAGTGCTGAAACTGATAGTCAAGCCAAGGTTCCCTCTATTGACAACTGACCAACTCCCAAAATTTTCACCTTAATACATCTGAAACTGCTAAGTTGTCGGTCTGTGACAAAAATGGACACTGGACAATAGTATAGAAGAAATTTAGCAGAATATAATTATATGATCAGTGTAGTAAAATAAAGTCTTCATTGCATCTTATTATTGCAGCTCTACAAGCAACATTTGAAGCCAATGGTAACATCATGTACTGCATGATTGTCACACTGCAGTGAATATTCAGGTATCAGATTATTTTTTTTACCCTTTTTCCTGCTGAATTTGTAATATGAACTTTCTTATACTGTCCATTGGTGAATCAATAACCTGCTGAATTTCTTAATGGACTTGACCAGCTTCCATTTTTGGAACTGTTCATTATCAATTTTAGGGATATCAAGTCAGTCAGCAAACAGTATAGAGCCTGGTATTAGACTGCACTTGCCAGGCTTTATACTTTGGCACAGGTTAATTACCTTGGGTGTTGGTCCACCAGAAAGATGGAAAATGGTCATATTACTGTGAGTACAGTGATTGTATGACTTGAAAGCCAATTATTAAAGAAATGACAAACTTCTACAACTAGACTTAGTACCCTTTCTAATTTTTTTTTCAAATTTATTGACCTTTTCTGCCAAATATCTCTTTAAACTTTATTTTTCATCTTGCAGCCTGTTGACAACCTTGTACCTAAGTCATGCTGGTAACAAATTGGTCCGAAAACTAGAGCTTCCAAGAAAACAACAAATGGTATCATAATAGAATCATAGAATCCCGGGGATATGATTTTTATTGTCCGTGACCTCATGCTCCAGACTGATTTTAACAGACTTGTCGGAAAATATAGAAATCTGGAACTGATAAAGGTACTCTCTTCTATCTGTTGAGTAAGAGATTTGGGCAGTTATAACATTTTAATGAATCAATAAACATCAGGTTTGTGAAGGGAAAATGTTTTTCTGTGTCTTGTATGTGCAAATAATGTCTGGTTCTAGCAAGGTGGGTGAGCGGTATTGGAATGAGGTGAATGTAGGTGATGAACTTTAAAATGTTCTTTTTAGCTCGACTATTCGATAAGAATAAGTAGAGCTATTGTAGTCACCCGAGCGTCGGCGTCGGCATAACCACTTATGTTAAAGTTTTTGTAATAGTTCAAATATTTTCAAAGTCCATAGACATATGGCTTTGAAACTTTGCACACTTGTTCACCATCATGACCCCAACCTGTAGACAGGAGGAGGTAACTCTATCAAGCATTTTGACAGAATTATGCCCCTTTTTCGACTTAGAATTTACGTTAAAGTTTTTGTAATAGTTCAAATATTTTCAAAGTCCATTGACATATGGCTTTGAAACTTTGCACACTTGTTCAACATCATGACCCCTACCTGTAAAAAGGAGGAGGTAACTCTATCAAGCATTTTGACAGAATTATGCCCCTTTTTCGACTTAGAATTTACGTTAAAGTTTTTGTAATAGTTCAAATATTTTCAAAGTCCATTGACATATGGCTTTGAAACTTTGCACACTTGTTCACCATCATGACCCAACCTGGAAACAGGTGGAGGTAACTCTATCAAGCATTTTGACAGAATTATGCCCCTTTTTCGACTTAGAATTTACGTTAAAGTTTTTGTAATAGTTCAAATATTTTCAAAGTCCATTGACATATGGCTTTGAAACTTTGCACACTTGTTCACCATCATGACCCAACCTGTAAACAGGAGGAGGTAACTCTATCAAGCATTTTGACAGAATTATGCCCCTTTTTCGACTTAGAATTTACGTTAAAGTTTTTGTAATAGTTCAAATATTTTCAAAGTCCATTGACATATGGCTTTGAAACTTTGCACACTTGTTCACCATCATGACCCCAACCTGTAAACAGGAGGAGGTAACTCTATCAAGCATTTTTTTTACTATCAAGCACTAAGAATAGTCGAGCGTTGCTGTCCTACCGACAGCTCTTGTTTGATGTGGTGTCAAATACAGTTAAACCTGTTTTCAGTGACTTCTTTTAGGGAATTAAAATCTGAATACATTGTTCATAAAAAAACAGTGTGCTTTTCTTGACAGGTGGTTTAAAAACTTAGGGCTTTCTTGAAAGCTTTGAAATTGAAAGCTCTTTTAGTGATAGTGTTTGAGTAATGAAATTCTGCTGTTTGCTATATGAAAATACAAAAAAAATTCTTAATTCATTTAATAAAAGTGATCTTTTAAAGATTGTTTGATAAAGATCAAATAAGTAAAAAATAGTGTTAAATAGCAAAATTCAGCGGTTTGCTATATGAAAATAAAAGGAAAAAAAACCCCTTTATTTTATTTAATTAATAAACTCATTTATAATAAAATATTTTTTTTTCTGATTGTTTGATAAAGTTCAAATAAGTGTAAAATGATTTTTTGAAATAAATTGCTAATATTTTGAAATAAAAATATATTACCTTTTTTATACACACATTCAATTATATAATCCACTTTTTCTAAGTTATTACTTTAATAAATAATTAAAGTCATGTGAAATATTAGTTCAGATTGATTCCATGTATAATTATCCGAAGTAACTTTACATTAAAAATTAACGAAATTTGTTACGAAAAAACGAAAACTATCTCTAGGAAGTGGCGTATTGTTCCCACAAATGTCATAAAAAGGTTTAACTTCTTGTTTATTTCATTGACAAATTAATCGTCTTAGCAATAAAAATATTGTTAAAAGAATGAATTTCTTGACCATTAAAAAGAAAACAGAAAGATTATTTGTTAGTGTATTGTAATGTCAAGTTATTGGACATAAATGACCGTTTGTTGATTTTAAGTAGTCAAATCCTCTATTTATTAAACTTAAAGTGGAATCCAAGTGAATCGAGTGGAAGATATTAAAAGCTTTAAACATTCTTGTTTTATTTATGAATTACTGATTTTATTTCTTCTTTTTTTTTCTTCAATGTTAAAATAGTTATTAGTCATTGGGTATTTTAGAAGAAACATTTCTGTATGAAAGAGATTTTTGTAATTTTAACATCGAATATTTGAGGAGATTTTTGAATTTTAAGCAGGAATTTACACCTGTAATGCCACAAAATTGTTATTATGTAATGGTTCACATTTATGTCAACCGCCTCCGTGGTCAAGGGGTTAGAGTCGATGACTTCTAATCCAGTTACCTCTCTGGCGTGGGTTCGATCCCCGGGAGATGCTTTGGTAGTTTAGCGCGGAGGAAGGTAGTCTTGTACTGGTGTAACTCTCCAGGAACGATGGTTAGGAAACTACCCGCCTATATGACTGAAATACTGTTGGAAAAAGGCGTAAAATGAAACAAACAAACAAACAAACAAACAACATTTATGTCATGTTATATTTTGGAAAAAAAAACTTATTTGCATTACAACTAAAATCCTAAGAAATTGTAAATTCCAATATTTAGGTCAATAATTAAGTTGATCATGTAAATAGATAAATAAACAATTAATACTCAACATTGCAATGAAAAAGTTGTACAATCTGTATTCACACAAATCCTATATAATATTACATGAATAAAAAAGTTCACCTGTTGTTGATTTTTAATATGCGAAAGTTGAGATAATTTGTGAAATGGACACAGCCTGCTTGAGTTAATTGGATTTTAATTAGAAAAGGAAAACAACTAAAAAACTAAATAGATGGCCAGATTGGGCACTATAGTGCTTAATTGGTCAGTTTGATAAAATAATTATATCATATATAAAAGCTTAAGGTCTTGCAATGTACAGTAAATTTTGTTTCGTTTTTTAAATTAAATGATAAAATAAGAGCTATTTATGTTTTGCTTTGGGGGAAATATGCAGGAATTTCCATATTTCAAGAGCTCTGCACTTGTGATAATTTCAACGTAGAATATTCAAATTATTTATTATGAAATATAAATTGTCGATTTCAATGACATATTATTAATAAACTATACTAGCTTTAACCAATTAGAAATTTTTACTGAGCATGCCCTTATTTAACTGTAAGGACTGTATAATTTATACCTACTTTTGGTTAACTACCCTAGCATCCTTCACTATGCAAGTAATGATCCACAAAACCCACCTGGTCTGCTTTAATAAAGATATGCAACATCATAAATTTTACACAACAGTAGAAGTGTTGCAGTAAGTTTTGATAGGAGCTTATTTTTTTCGAGACTAAATTACCTTGTATTGAAAGAGTGTGATAATGATTTGAAAAAAGTGGTGTCATTTTGTTACATTATGTAATAAGATAGCTTTATCCTAGAGTAATTCATGGCTACCCTTTGAAGTCAATTATTCAAGTTTGAAGCTTAGATATCCCACTTTTAAGTTATTTAATTAAGAATATCCATACAGCTTTAGGAAAACAAGTTAAGAGAATTTATTTTCTGAAACACTTTAAATTTGATATAATTTTATTGAAAGTCATGACTTCATTGACAATAGAACTTCTGTTATTCCAAAGATAAGGTGAACTTTGATGCAACTTGAGTATTTTATGATTAACATTAATTTTGTGCTTGTTAATAAACTTAAAAATGGGATAATTTTATTTGCTGTCCTACTTTGATTTGGATGTTAATTATGCCCCCCTTCAGAGAAGTGGGGGTATATTGCTTTGCATTTGTCTGTCTGTCTGTCGGTCCATATAGACCAAATGGTTTCCGAGTAATAACTAGAGAACGCTTAGGTCCAGAAACTTCACACTTAGTATGATAATTGGTCATGACCAGTAGATGACCCCTATCGATTTTGGGGTCAAGGGGTCAAAAGTCAAGGTCACATTGACCTGGTAGATAAAAACCGTTTCCGATCAAAAACTAAAAAAAAACCTTAGGCCTAGGAACTTCAAACATTGTTTGATGATTTAACATGACCAGTAGATGACCTCTATCGATTTTGGGGTCAAGGGGTCAAAGATCAAGGTCAAATTGACCTTTTAGGTAAAAATGGTTTCCAATCAATACCTATAAAATCCTTAGGCCTAGAAACTTCAAACATGGTATTATGATTGTTCTTGACCAGTAGATGACCCCTAGTGATTTTGGGATCAAGAGGTCAAGGTCACATTGACTGTAGGTAAAAATGTTTCTGATCAATAATTGAATAACACTAGAACTTCAAACTTGTTATGATGATTGCTCATGACCAGTTGATAACCCCTATTGATTTTGGGGTCAAAGGTCAAGGTCAGGTTGACCTTTTAGGTAAAAAAGGTTTCTGTTCAATAACTAAAGAACCCTTGGGCCTAGGAACTTCAGACTTGGTATGATGATTGTTCATGACCAGTAGATGACCACTATTGATATTTTGATCAAGGGGTCAAAGGTCAATGTCACAGTGAACTTGTAGGTAGAAACGGTTTCTGATCAATAACTATAGAACTCTTAGGCCTAGGATCTTTAAACTTGGTATGATGATTGCTCATGACCAGTAGATGACCCCTATTGATTTTGGGGTCAAAGGTCAAGGTCACATTTACCTTGTTGGAAAAACTGTTTCCGATCAATAACTTGATAACCCATGAGCTGTTGGCCCTCAAACATCGTAGGTGCATTTGACTTGACCAGTAGATGACCCCTATTGATTTTGGGGTCAAGGGGTCAAAGGTCAAGGTCATATTAACCTTATGGGTAAAAACGGTTTCCGATCAATAACTTGGCTGGCCCTCAAACTTTCTAGGTGCATTGGTCTTGGCCAGTAGATGACCCCTATTGATTTTGGGGTCAGAGAGTCAATGTCATTTTGACCTTGTATGTAAAGACAGTTTCTGACCAAGAACGCAACAACTCAAGTTGCCTTGGTTGATAGTTTTATTATTAAACAAAAAATGTATTTAATATACTCATTTGAAGGTCTTATGTAATA